CACATCGCGCTTGTTCGTCTCGAGTTTGGTCGTTGCACGAAGCACTCCAGAACTTTTTGACCCAGGCTCGCGATGTCATGCATCGATGTGCTCAGGTTCTTTTTTTCTGTGTTTAGCTTGTATATCGCCTGCCAGCCTGGCAAGCACAGGCCGCTCGACTGCTTTTTTTTTTTTTTTTTTTTTGTATGCTGGACAGTTACATTTTGCACACTATTTGGGGAACCAGCTGGCGACGGAGGGGAGTGGCATGGTTTTGGTTTCGATTGAACAGCCGTTGTCTCTGCTCGTGCAATGAAGCACGTGCCACTGCAAGGCTGCTGAGGTTGCCCTCACGTGCATGGGAACATGACTGCATGACAGAGGCACCAGTCGGGACGCTTGCAATTAATTGTTTTGCGTTTGCTTGCTTTTGACGAAAATCTGGCATGTCGGGAAGCAGCAAAACGGTGGCAAGCGTTCTTTTCGGAATTGCTCGGCAACGCCTATAACACTGTACACTTGTGGGATGTCTCAGCCGTAAAACACAAACAGCGAGTTCTGTCATAACACACCGCAAAGTGCCCTTCGTTTCTCCAGCAATTAAAACAAATATTTTTATTTTTCTAAGAATATCTGCTCCGAAAGCCACTTTTGCTGCTCCAAAACACTGTTTGGGCTGCTCCAAAAGCCACTTTTGCTGCTCCAAAACACTGTTCGGGCTGCTCCAAAGGCCACTTTTGCTGCTCCAAAACACTGTTTGGGCTGCTCCAAAAGCCACTTTTGCTGCTCCAAAACACTGTTCGGGCTGCTCCAAAGGCCACTTTTGCTGCTCCAAAACACTGTTTGGGCTGCTCCAAAAGCCACTTTTGCTGCTCCAAAACACTGTTCGGGCTGCTCCAAAGGCCACTTTTGCTGCTCCAAAACACTGTTTGGGCTGCTCCAAAAGCCACTTTTGCTGCTCCAAAACACTGTTCGGGCTGCTCCAAAGGCCACTTTTGCTGCTCCAAAACACTGTTTGGGCTGCTCCAAAAGCCACTTTTGCTGCTCCAAAACACTGTTTGGGCTGCTCCAAAGGCCACTTTTGCTGCTCCAAAACACTGTTCGGGCTGCTCCAAAAGCCACTTTTGCTGCTCCAAAACACTGTTCGGGCTGCTCCAAAAGCCACTTTTGCTGCTCCAAAACACTGTTCGGGCTGCTCCAAAGGCCACTTTTGCTGCTCCAAAACACTGTTTGGGCTGCTCCAAAAGCCACTTTTGCTGCTCCAAAACACTGTTCGGGCTGCTCCAAAGGCCACTTTTGCTGCTCCAAAACACTGTTCGGGCTGCTCCAAAGGCCACTTTTGCTGCTCCAAAACACTGTTTGGGCTGCTCCAAAGGCCACTTTTGCTGCTCCAAAACACTGTTCGGGCTGCTCCAAAGGCCACTTTTGCTGCTCCAAAACACAGTTCGGGCTGCTCCAAAGGCCACTTTTGCTGCTCCAAAACACTGTTTGGGCTGCTCCAAAAGCCACTTTTGCTGCTCCAAAACACTGTTCGGGCTGCTCCAAAGGCCACTTTTGCTGCTCCAAAACACTGTTTGGGCTGCTCCAAAAGCCACTTTTGCTGCTCCAAAACACTGTTCGGGCTGCTCCAAAGGCCACTTTTGCTGCTCCAAAACACTGTTTGGGCTGCTCCAAAAGCCACTTTTGCTGCTCCAAAACACTGTTCGGGCTGCTCCAAAGGCCACTTTTGCTGCTCCAAAACACTGTTTGGGCTGCTCCAAAAGCCACTTTTGCTGCTCCAAAACACTGTTCGGGCTGCTCCAAAGGCCACTTTTGCTGCTCCAAAACACTGTTTGGGCTGCTCCAAAAGCCACTTTTGCTGCTCCAAAACACTGTTCGGGCTGCTCCAAAGGCCACGTTTGCTGCTCCAAAACACTGTTTGGGCTGCTCCAAAAGGTGCTCCAAAATGGCTTAGGCCAATCACATCACTGGAAATATCTTAAATAGCTCACATATAAAAACTTGCCAGACTTTGCTGAAAATCATAAAAAAAAAAAACGCAGTTCGACATTTCTACAAAAATTATCCAAAATCTAATTTTCTTAAAGTACTTAAGCTAATGAAATATAGTACTTTAGAGAGTTGCAAATGAGTCTTTATGCTTTATTTTATGAAATTAGAAAATAGCAAGCAGTCAAACATGCAATCCTCCATTGGTGGGAGAAACATCAGTTTTCGCCTCGTGCATGCTCACATACCTGCTCAATAATTCGAAAACAAAAAATCTGCCAAGTTTGCCCTTTGCGCTTTCATTGCAAAAATGCTCCCAGATCCAATATTTTTTTTGCCAAAATTAAAATTTCAACCCCAAAATTGTGCCTCAGTTGAGATGAAAAGAGCCATATAATCCAAATTATTGGCAGTAAAAAAAAATATTATTTTTACAAACTGCTGCCTTGTGTTCTAATGGGCAAAAGCAAAGTAGCATGCCTCCTCTGTGGCAACCCACAGGGCTGTGATCTATCAGGCACAAAAGACAGCATATTCTGTCCTCATTTAAGGACACTGTGTGGCAAGGCAAAGCAAAAGACAAAACAAAGAAAAAAAAAACTAGAAAAACGAATTAGTATTTGTCCTTATATGTTGACGACATGCATGAGAAGCTTCCTCAGAAGAGTGGGACATGTTTCCCATTTCTCTTTAAATTTGTCAGTCAGAAAGGGAAGAATCTTCTCTTGTATGAATCTCAGGTGGCAAGATAATTTACAGCGGGCATAAAAGTAACATTGGGGCACTCAGTAGGATATTTTTCGATTCAGCTTACTTGCCTGAGGCCCTTCCCTTCTAACCACAGGTCAGTGTTTAATTAAACCCGGTCAATTTGTTAGATACTGGCAACTTGTGACTCAAACAAGGGGGGGTGGGGTGGGCTGTGACTGCAGATGAGCCGTACGGCATGTGCTTGGCATTACAAAGTTTAGTGTTGCGACAAGTTCATCTCCCCCACATTGCTGACTAGAACTGGCGGATCAAAAACTGTATATAAGAGGGACCTTTGCTGTCAGTACGACAGCTGTGAAAATTCTCAGGAGAATGTGACCCTGGCCTGGGACAGTTATGCAATTGGCCCAATTCAAACCAGTTTCACTGTTCACCTCACACCAGCATGATTTAAAACTGAGATATGTGCATAACTTTTCATATTGTCACAAATAAACAACAAGTGAATGTAAAACTGAAAATAAACGTTTAATGAGGCAAACTGGTGCCTGCAAACTTAAAAAGAGCTACTACAGATCTCTTAAATCGTTTGAGGGAATTAAACATAGAAGTTTTGTCTATGATAAACAAATATTTGCTTTAATCTTTTGTTGAGCCTCCAATGTAGTCATCTTCATTGCTTTTTTTTTCTTTTTTTCAAACAAATAATTACACATATTATTTCTTTTTGTGTGTAAACTGTTTTGTGTGCTTCGTCTCCGCTGCTGCTGAGGGGAGATGGAGACCGGTCAAGCAACTCTTCTGTTGCTTTTTTCTCCGTTTTCCCTCTCCAAATGGAAAAAAATAAAGAATATTGATTTGATTTGATTTGGTGTCGGCGACAGAAGGGGCATCTGCCCGAACCAGCGCGTTACCACTGCTTTCTATACACATTGTACATTCAAGAATGTTCCGAACCAGAATACACGATGACAGCCAAGAATGGTCTAGAGCCTGCCAGAAGAGTACACTAAAAAGAATGAACCGGGCTGAGCGGCGTTGGAAGCCCGTTCCTCCGCCTGGGAGCCGCGTGCTTTGCCAACTCTGCCCTGCACGCGCCCACATAGAGAAATATCGCTGGAAATTGAACAAAGCTCCTCTTTTCCTGTCAGCAGCTGCTTCGACGTATACACCAACTCATGTTTACAAACAAACCGGGGCGCCCGGAACGCCTCTAGCGGACGCCACCGGCGCCGCGCATGCGCGATGGGGGTGTGGGCAAGGCGCTCGCCGTCGCCCATAAACAAACCATTGAAATGCGATGTTATCGGCGTCTGTGTGAGTCCCCTTGCCCTTTTTCGCGTTCGAATTGTTGATTCTACGTCTTCCTGGCAATGTCTGACTACTTGAGCGGCCTCAGCGAAATTAACAAGGCTCGTTACACCGCCAAACTTCGCGTCAATAATGTGACACGCGGCGATTCATTCCGCGTGGACGCCGCAGAATGTACGCTAAAACCTGATTCATATAATGAGATTTCGCTCCCTATTTTCAGTCGCAACGTCGCTCGGTCTGCAAAAGCGTGAACCGAAGCTGAGATGGTCGACGTCGATACTGAAAATCTAAAGCAGAATGGGACTATGCAAATCAGGCCTAGCAAGTCTGTGATGGTCACTGGTAACAATGATCAACATCTCCTTGTATCTACTGTTTACATCGAGCCTGCTCACCAACCTTCAAATTTAGGTCTTTTGAGGCGTGCATTACTTCTTATCGCAAATACCGGGCCAAGATTCTGTCTACGGGCCGGCGTCGTCTGAGAGAGCAGACGACAAGCAGACACGTCTGAAAGAGCAGACGACAGTTCGAACGATCAGGTGGCCGTTTGAACTTGAAGACGCACTGAACGTAGTCCGCAGGTGGTCCGCACAACTTGACGGTTTTTTGGCGTTCATGTTGGAACAAAACAAATAAATCTGATAATCACAGCTATCCGTGAATTCAACCCAAAGTGCTTCCCACCCAAGCAATCTTTGTCCGACGGCGTCTGCTTTTCCCTTTTCACGGCACATATCCATATTCTCGGACGAACCGAGCACGTGAAAACTGACCTTCGAACCTTCCTCGACACTTTTGGTACGGCCCCAGTCGCGGCGTTTTGACGAGAAGGCAGGTTTTTGTCTGGTTCTTTTCAAAACAACGCAGGAATACACGTCTGGCATGGGGACTTCTGCCCACAGCCCCAGACCGGAAGTGCGACCGACGCGCCACCACCGCGCCGTGACGTCACAGAGATGAGTTCGTGTATAGAAAGCTCGTAACGACCCATTTGTCTTTTGTAGGTTGCAAGAGGGCATTCAGCTGTACGGCTTCTGTAGCCTCGTGCCGGAGCTGCTACAGAGTCCCGACGTGGATGCGCAGGAGAAGGTGGTGCAGGCGATGCTTTCCCTGGCGGAAATTTGCCACAAGGAGTTCCAGGTGCACTTGCCCCGGCTGCATTCTCTGCTCAATGCTTACCAAAGAGAAGTGCACAGTGAGTCGCAGTTGAAGACCTTGGAACAGACGTCGGACTATTTTGAGGGACTGCTCCATTCTCTGTCTCAGCTATTGGACTCCTTGGAAAGGAAACAGAAAGATGAACTGTGAATGAATGTGACAACAGTGACGGTGTGACTGGGACAAATGGTCTGGGTGCTGTCAACAGATTTTGTTTCATGCCATCGTTTCTCCCGCGGCGAGGCAACTTGAGACTGCAAGCTACGCTGTAGATATGGACCCTTGTCCTCGTTGATAGGGTTATTTTTGTTTGTGAAAAGGATATCTGTGGATGTATGAAGGCGGTTATCTTTCCGATAGCTCTGGCTGTAGGGATCTGATTTCGTGCATTTCATACTCTAGTGTTGGAGAGGCTAGACATGGCAATGCTTTTCGTGGCAGCAATTTTCCTTGGTGGAATAAAGTTCACCATATCAGCTTGTTTGGACTCTGATCTGTCTTATGCTGCAAAGATAGATGCTGTTAAAAGTGTAACGTGGAAGAGCTACATTGTGCTTGTGAACTCGTCGGATGTTGTCGGTACCATGAGGCCTTTCTGGAAGAGCACAGGATTCTGGTAAGTATTGTGTGGGATTTCTGTACAGAGTATAAATGCTGTCCTTCATTTTCGGGTTTTATATTTTTAAAAAAGTGGGGGGAAGGTAAAAGTTGGGCGCTTTGATCTAAGATCGGGGAGAAATCATTTTTTTAAAATTTCTATGAAATTCTGGTTTTTTGGGCTATGTTTAGAAATATACAAGTAGAATTAACACTTGGTAGTTTTGAATACAGAGATTATTTTTAATAAAGTACTGTACGCAAGATAGCATGGAAACGCGGTACGAGCCCACATGGCTTTTAAGTTTTTCAGAAATCCTTTTTGCTTCAATGGCATTCTGCATGTGCAGCTTATCTTTGTCTCCATCCTAGATCTGTCTGGTTTTTGGACATAGTTAATGAATTAAAAGAATGCTCTCTCAGTATTACAGCTTACATACAATTGAAATACACAATTTCTCACCCTTTTTTCTTTTTTTTTTTTTTGTGTGTTGGTTGAAACAGATAAAGGAAAAGGGCATACCTCAGAAGGGACATAAAGGCAACATTTGAGGGCTCGACTTTGGTATGTCAGTGCAGTTCACCGAGTCCCACTAATCTAGGATAGTTTACTACGTCTGAAGCCAGTGCATGAGTTTCTACCAACTCTTTGTTGCCTAGAAAATATTTTCGGAGAAGGGTAATTTTTTTTAAATGCTGGAATTAAATTTCCGAATTCGGAGAAAAATACAGTTTAACCCGATTTTCGACAAACATGTCTGGGATGAAAATATCGGGAAATATTGTTTTTTTTATCCGAAAACGAAGGACCCTAAGCATAGGATGTAAGAATTGTTACTAAGCTTTATAACAGGCATTGCATTTGTCGGGACGTCATAAATGAAAAGCTTTTAATTGTACTTGCACTGAGATTTCATACTATTTTGCCAGTATTTCATTTCTGGTAATGACCATACAAGAAGACAAATATGGATCTCATTATGTCAATATTGTACTTTTCTGGGCATATTGGGGAAGATTAAAGTACTCAAGAGATTATTAAAAGGTAAAAGGAAATTTAAGATCTGCAACTGGCATGCAGGTTTTTTTCTATTAATGATGACCATACCATTATACAGCTGCTTAAAATATACTTGATGTGACAGCACCATTCTGTGTTTAACAATTTTGGATGTAAAGTATGTTTTCAAAAATGCAGTTATTTCATTTCTGAACGTCTTTGTTCTTTAAAAGTTCTAGTCAAAAAATGTGAAAACCCTTGTGATCAAGGTTTCCATTATGAGACTGCAGCCTAAGGCTGGGGCCCTAAGACGGTCATCTTGATTTTGTCTTAATTTCGATTTTTGTTCATATTTTATTTAAATGAAGGCATTTACGAACGTGTCACTTGGTCACTTCCAGTGGACTTTGGTGGACATCTTGTAAAAAAAGTATTGTTTCTATGAAGCTATTAAATGAGATGAAGGGGATGTTGAAAAGTGAGATTCACTCGCCACTGCTTAAATTGATCAATTCCTTTAGAAAACTTAATTGAAAATAGTTAACATTATGGCACATGACTATATGGTATGAATGATTTATGTTTTGATTTCAGGTCTTAACAAATAAATGTCGTACTAAAACCATTAATTTTTTAAAACTAATTATGCTGCAGATTTTCCGGTGTTTATTCGTAAAAAAAATCTGTGGCTGTTTTTTTCTGTTTATTTGTGTTTTTCTTAATTGGTATCTTTTGGCAATTTGTTCCATACAGATGCTAAAACTTAATATCAATGAAATTATTTTAACAGTGAACAGATAAAGAATTATTCCAAACTGAGGGTTAAAATTGCGTTTCCTACTTTTACACACCCTTATAATGCTTCTCGTTTACCATAATGTGACAGTGCTTGCAAATGACAGAAAACAAGCCAAAACACAGGTCTAAGTTTGAATTGCCCAGCTTTTCATTTTTTTTTCCTGCTACCTTTCTGTTCCGTGTGATGTAAAAAATTGAAGTGTACTCGAGCAAAATAATTCTGTCATGAGGAAGGCGAGTTGATCTTTTGCAAGGTTCAGCTGATAGCAATCATTGATGTAGGTCTGAACACTGTCGTACAGCCCTGTCCTGAATAGAACAAAGGCATGACCATATGTAGTGACCAACTGACTTGACCTAGCTCTCATGCCACTGTCCTCAAGATCAGTGATTCCATGATTCGGGATTGATGGGGCACTTTATTGAATAGTCTGTTGCGGGTTTAAAACAGCAGGAGAAGACCCTCCCTCAAAGCTCCCTGTTCGCCGTGATTGGTGGTTTTCTCTCCAGTTAAAAATGTACGTGATGAACATCTAAAGAAGGGGGGGTTTGGAAGGGAATGCTTCTTGCTTGGAATAAAAATTTCCAGAAATCGGTGTTTTTCGGTTTTAACATATTTCATACTTTTGTCACTGGCAGATGTTTAGGTGTTTTTCGGTTTTAACCAGAGAGTCTGCGGCCTATTTAGAATGAATATGTGTACATATATGGGAGGCACTCACTTGATCGAATGACGTTTTAGCGAACGCCCAAGTTTCACCGAATGACACTTTAGCGAATAGTCGGACGCCGCGAAGCGGCGTTTTCGGGTGGGCCAAATGGGTTCACATTTTTGTAATGAGCCGCCGCAGACTGTCGCCGCGAAGCGACGTCAGCTCAGCGCGGCGGATGGGTTAACGCGCGCCCCCGTTATTCGCTAAAACGTCGATTCGCTTAAATGTCGCTGTTCGCTAAAACGTCATTCGCTCATGTGATATGGACCCGTACTTTTATTAGAGCTACAATAATATTTGTTCCGGCCTAAAGTTTTGATCTTGTGCATCGACAAACAGCACCAGTGCATTTGCACTACGAAGTGGGCATTTTGGTACAAATGCACAGTTAGTATGAATCCATGCATAGGATGTGATGTTCAGCAGGCATAGACAAAACTTCTTGCTTACATATTCTGGCCTCTTTCTGTATAATGTTCAGTGTGAGTGTTTAAAAAAAAAATTAAGTATAGGTTATGCGCATTTGACTTATCTTTAAAACACTTTAAATTGAAAAATATACAGGACCACGATCTGCAAATCAAAATATTTCTGTGTTCCGGTTAAATGGGGCGTTGCAACGATTTTCAGACTTTGGCCAATTAACTGCCGAAATTAACCGTTGTCAACCATAGAACGAAGAACAGAAAAACTATTTTCTTGCGAGCGCTAGTCTATGTAAAAAAAATTAAACAAATCGAAGGTCAAAGTGCCTCTCAACTCCACACGTCGCCTTTCGAGTGACGTACTTCGGGGAATCACGTGGTTTCCCCTTGGGTTGTCTCTTCAGAGACCCCAGCCGCTTCCTCCGCGATTATCGACTTTTAAAGGATTAGCGTCGTCGAAGGTCGCGGCGAGCGATCGACAGAAAAGACAGTTCGCCACGGGGGTGACGGCGAGTGTAGCAGCGGAGGGGGACAGGTTTTGTTCACTTCCGCGTATCCCCCAGAGTACGTCACACATCAGTTCCGTTAACCACCACAAGCGGTTGCAGATCGGCAAATATTTCGTTTTCTTCTTTGCGATTATGCACCGGAATAGCAGTTTTTCAGGGTATCGTGGCGCTTTCTTGGTCACTTGTGCTTGGATAAATAATATAAAATTACAACTGGCCAATTCTTTCAGTACTAAAATCGTTGCACTACCCCTTTAATCGTGTTCACCACTAACACCAGTGCACTTGTAGCTATTTCGTAGTACAAATGCACGGGTGATCGGTTGGCGAACTGATTAAAGCCGGCACAGGTGTCTATTTTATTTGCTTGTCGTAAGCTTTTTACTAGTTTTCATTCAAAGGCGAGGAATTTTCACTTTCAACATCTCTATCGTTCGCCTATCACAACGACACTCTTTTACAAGGTGTCCACACAGCTAGGCTAGGGGTGATTACAGACAAGACAGAACAAAGAGTGGCTGGTCGACGTTTTTAATTCACTTCATATTTATATAGGTCGTTGCCGTATCTATATAAACAAATCAAATATATTTATATATATGTGGTGTTTCAATAAAGGTGGAGAAATTCGATATTGCGAAAACTACGCATCGCACCAAACAAAGGCTTGTGTCATTGTGGGCCTAGGCCAAGGGCCTATTTAGGAAAATTATTAAAGTTCAGAATGAGTAAGTTATTAATTATTTTCACGTAATTATTTTTTTTAATAAGCCCCCCGTTTCCACTAGCTCCCTGCTGATCCCTCTGTCACAGGGAGCTAGTGAAAACGGGGGGCTTTAGAATCCTCAGGTATGTGGACGATTTTTTGGTTTTAGTGAATCGGCCCATGAGTGCAAATGAAGAGTCCATAAAACGCGTGTTAGAAGTGTTCTCGAACAATGCCAATGGGTTGACTTTCACGCATGAAGAAATGAAAAATGGGCATCTCCAGTTTCTGGATTTAAATTTGAAGTTTGAGGAAAATCATGTCTGCTGGAAATATGAGTCACGATCAAAAAGAGGTGTGCTTCCCTTCGATTCTGCACACTCGAAGCTAGTAAAGAGAGGAGTGGCAACTTCATTGATGCTCGCAGCGCTAGAAAAATCATGTGAACACGTTGTTGGTTCAAGCTTCCTCACCCAAGTCTGCCGCCTACAAAACGCGGGGTATCCCGAAGGACATCTTGTGGAAATCGCCGAAAGCCTCATGTCAAAGTTGAAAAAAAAAAAAGAGAAAGTGAATCGGAAGGCATCACGCAGAATAAACAGAAAGTGGCGTTTTTGCCGTACATTCACAGATTGTCCCACAATCTCAAAAAGATAGCCGGACGTTTCGGCGTCCCTGTAGTGTTTACAACACCTTCGAAGTTATCCAGATTATGTCCAAGGGTGAATAACAAGTCACGCAAGGCGGAAGCGTGCACAAAAAAACATGCCAACAAATATGTCGAATGCGAAACAGCGGTGGTTTACGAGATACCAACGTCATGGCGGGAGAACGTATATTGGGCAGACGGGGAGGTGCGTCAACGAAA